GTAGTGGAAGAAGAGTCTTTTGCATAAAAGGTGTGGGGTCAACTGAATATCTATATAAGAAAAAAAATTAACCTTGATCCCTGTGTCACACCACATATGAAAATCAGTTCAAGATGGATTATATACTTAAGTAGAGGTAGAAAACAACATAATAAAGGTTTTAAAAGAAAATCCTTATATTAGAAATATATTCTGCAGGAAAGATGAGGCACTCTGCTTCCTTAACAATTTAGAGCAGTGGTTCTCAACCTTCCTAATGCCGTGGCCCTTTCATACAGGTCTTCATGTGGTGGGGACCCCCAACCATGAAATTATATCTATTGCTACTTCATAACTGTAATTTTGCTACTGTTATTAATCAGCAACCCCATGAAAGGGTCATTCGACCCCAAAGGGGTCGCGACCCACAGGTTGAGAACCACTGATTGAGAGCCTTGGAAACTCTATGGAGCATTTCTATAGTGTCTCATAGGGCCAGGATGAGTCACAATTGACTCTATGGCAGTGGGTTTGGTTTCCAGTTGGTTCTTAAAAAGATGCCATTATGGAAAGAAGATATGTATATACGACATATAGCTAAACAATTGACCTATGCCTATAATACATAAAGACTCCTTAGAACTGAATCAGAAAAAGGCATTCAGTATAGCAGAAAAATGAGCAAAAGACTTGAAAGTTACTTCATAAAATATTCAAATGTTATAATAATTGGGAAAAGGAATATTAAGATCACAATGAGATATAATTAAGCCTTTATCAGAATGGCTAAAATTCAAAGGTAGGGCAATATCTAGAGTTCGTAAGGTTGAAGAATAGCTACAATTCTTACTGCTGGTAGGATTGTCAATCAGTCCAACCAGAAAGCCAAATATACATAGATCCCACAGAAAAGTAATTCTACTCCTAGGTATATACCCAACAGAAACAGGTGATCACATCAAACAAGCTGTGCAAGAAGGTGTAACAGCTTTGTTTATAATGGAAATGGCCTGGATATTCAACAACCCAAGGATGGATATACAAATTGTGTTATAAGAATACTATACCGTAATAAAAAATGAAACATATAAGACATACTCTAAATCTCAAAAAATAAGTTGCATGAAAACCAGCCCCAAAGGAGTACATGCTATCTGACTCCATTTATATGCAGGCAAGGATAATCCACCATGGCACTAGCACAGTAGTAGTTCCCTGAGAGGTGCTGCTAAGGAGGAAGATGCAGGCACCTTCTGGGGGCTTAGAAATATTCTACATTGATCTAGGTGGTGGTGCCACTGGGTTATACAATGAAGATTATGCTTATTACAATGTGCACGCTATATCTCAATGAAAAGAATAGCAAAGAATGCTTACGTGGCAAGTAAATTTCCTAAAACTCAAGCTAATATTTGGCAAGTATTGCATTTTTCTTGAAGGGGCTCGGGTAATGCAGGAGGTTATGCACTAGGTTATGCAGAGGTTATCCACACAAGGTCTGCAGTTCAAACCCACCAGTTGCTCCAAGAGAGAAAGAGGAGACTTTCTATTCCCGTGAAGATGTACAGTCTCAGAAACCCTTAGGGGTGGTTCTACCCTGTCATATAGGGTCTCTGGGAGTTAGAAATGACTCAGTAGCAGTGAGTTTGGTTCTGGGTTCAGATTTCATCAGATGATCCATTAGAATACCAGCTCCCTGGTGGCAAGTACTTTTGTCATTTTTATTCACTATTATGTCCCCACAGCCTGACATTCAATAAATATTTTCAGAATAAATTTACAAATAGAGCTAGGAACAAAAGTAAGCTGAAAAAAATCATTAACTAAAATCTTGGTATATTGAGCATGTGAACTAAGCCGAATTTTGTTTATAAAGTAAAATGGTAAACTGTTGTGATGGTGACTTGAGTTTCCTTATTATGAAAAATGTGTCTTAGTGTTTTTAAACATCAGAAAGACTAAAACTAGACGTGAAAATATCTTTAGTACACTCAGTATTTAATACCCTTTTAATATCGGCCTATTGTTGTTAGCTGCCTTAAAAGTGGCTTGACTCATGGGCATGCCATGCACAATGACACATTGCCTGGTACCATGCCATCCCCCTGATCAGCTGGTTGCAGAAAGAACCACTGTGATCCATAAGATTTTCATTAGCTGACTTTTGGAAGTAGATCACCAGGCTTTTCTCCCTAGTTTGAAATCTGTACTTCTTGATAGCGACATATAAGCCTACACTGATCGATTAGTGCAGGAGGTGCGCTGACTGGGAATCCAACCTGGGTCTCCTACATGAGACCAAAATTCTACCGATGAACCATGCAGATGACTTCATATTAGCTCATTAACAAACAAATAATCACACACACACACACACACACACACACACACACACACACGACATAAAGACCCTGTGTGTTACAGGGTTTTTTGGTTATAATCTCTGTGGAAGCAGATTGCCAAGCCAAACCTTTCCTCCAAGACACTACTAGGTGAATCTGAACTGTCAATTTTAAAATTCGTGGATGGACACAAATTGTATGTACCACCTATAGACACATTGCTTACAAACCAAGTTGTATTAGATGCCATCAAATCGAATTTCATTCATGGCAAACCCACGGACTTTTCTGGCCTGTAGCTCTGGTGATATAATGGGTTACAAGTTGGGTTGCTAACCACAAGGTCAGCAGTTTGAAATCATCAACTGCTATACAGAGCATGAGGCTTTCTATTCCCGTAAAGAGTTACAGTCTCAGAAACACACAGGGACAGTTCTACCCTGGCCTATACAGTCACTATGAGTCAGAATCTACTAAATGGCAGTTTGGATTAGTTTTTGGAATTTTATGCATATGAAAGCTGGACAGTGAATAAGGAAGACCAAAGGAAAATTAATGCACCTACGATGTTGGCCATAAAATGTTAACTATACCAAGGACTGTCAGAAGAATGAACATCTCTGTCTTGGAAGCAGTACAAGACTGTTCACTAGAAGAGATGACAGTAAGACTTTATCTCATGTACTTTGGACATGTTCTCAGGAGAGACCAGTCCCTGGATAAGGATAATTTGCTGGGTAAAGTAGCGTTTTGCTACTTTGGGTCGGCACAAAGAGGAAGACCTTCAATGAGACGGACTGGCACAGTGGCTGCAACACTGGCCTTGAATATCACACTTGGGGAAATAGGCAGGCCCAAGCAGAGCTTCGTTCTCATGGACGTGGGGTTAACAAGGATTTGGAATGGACTCAGTGGCACTTAGCAGCAGCAGCAGCAGCCTTTATTTTGCCAGGCTTTCCCCCACAAAGGTGCTGGGTGGGAATGACTTACCATCCAAGTTAATGTAAAATGAACCTCAAGTCCCTTTTAAAAGGCTGTTTAGGTAAAAATAACTGGTTTCACCCAGGAAAAAACTTGCTACCATGACCTAAGGGGATACTTATGGCAATGTCTGAAGACAGTTTTGGTTGTCACATTGTTATTGGATGGCCACTTAATGGGAAGAGGCAAAGAATGCCGCCAACCATCTTACAATGCACATGCAGCCTCCCACAACAAAAGTCTTGGATCCAGTCTGTCAAGTATAGCTTCTATTAAATTACGGAACTTTATTCTTAAACGGACTGTAAAGTAATTCAAGTGCCTTTCAACTGCTAGTTTTTCAAGGACATTAAAATTAGGATCTTTAAAGTCATTTAAAGTTATGCACATGTACCAAAGATTTAATCTTGCTTGGATTACAAACGATGCTTATGGACACAGTCAAGACATCAAATGACGCACTGCATTAAGGTAAATCTGCTGCACAAGACCTCTACTGAAAAGCAAAGATATTACTTTCAGGACTAGGGTGCTCCTGAAACAGGTCATGGTATTTTCAATTGCCTCATATGCATGGGAAGCTGGGACACTGAATAAGGAAGACTGAAAAACTATTGATGCGTTTTAATTATGGTGCTGGCAAAGAATGTTGAAAGTGCCATGGACTGGTGAAAGGACAGACTGTTCTGTCTTGGGAGAAGCACAGTTGAATGCTCCTTAGAGGCAAGATGGTGAGACTTTGTCTTACATACTTTGGACATGTTATCAGCAAAGACCTGTCCCTGGAGACGGAGATCATATTTGGTAAAGCAGAAGGCCAGCGGAAAAGAGGAAGACCTTCAACAAGATAGATGGGCAGAGTGGCTGTAACAGGGCTCAAACATATCAATTGTGAGGACGGTGAGGGCCAGGCGGTGTTTCAATCTGTTGTACATAAGGTCACTATGCGTGGGAACAGACTCACAGCACCTAACAATAAAACATGTATCAAATGCTTTAACAAGGGATTTTAATGTAAATACATTCAGGAACAGTCATCAGTATTACTTTTAAGACTATTTTAGGCATATTATTTACCTTATCTCAATCAATAGTAATAACCTCATTAAAGTAGAGATAACTCTCATTACAGAGATTAGAAAACGCATATGAGGACAGTTGAAATCCCTGCTCAGGTTACCAGGTAAAACTGGCATTCAGGTTAGCTCCAAACCCATGATGATTCCAATAAATAGCACTGCATTTACATTTCAGTGGTGATGCAGATAAAAATGAAAGGCATTGAAGGTTCCCTTCTCACTGAGCATACCACTGTAGGAAAGGCTTACCCAAGAATGATGCATTATGGGCATTTAGATAAGAGATTAAACAATACCAATTTTAAAAAAGGATAATCTATAATCTATTTTCTTATCACATATGAAAGTAGATTGATAAAGTTATATGACAAAGACATTAGATTCTCATTCTTGCTCTGGCCATACAACAGATTCATTGATAATAACACTAAAGTTGAATTGCTGACAGCCCTAAAGCTTAATCTTGACAAATCAAACCCTAGTCATCACTATACGACAACATAACATTTCTGTCAATCTGGCTAATCTATGAAAATATTCTATTAGCTTTGCTACTTTCATATCGACACTTCAGGGCTTGTCATGATTCTTTGCGTTGAGAAAACAGAGATGCTCTTACCATATTAAAGCCGTGCTCATGAGCCTCATCAAGCTCTCCATTACTAGTCACGGGAATCTCTGCTGCTGAATTTTTAGGAGATTCTTGAGCCATGGCAGACTCCTATAAAAATAAAAATAAAGCTATAAAAATACCAAATCACAGATATAAAGAAGTCTCCTATTCACATTTAAAGCAATTATAAGTCACAATTCTAGCACTTTAAAAAAATCAACCAAATACATGATAAAAATGATATTAATATAATTAAAAATTAATTTGGCTTTTAAAAACGCATTCACTTAAACTTCTTGATTAAAAATGAGATGTGTACTATAGGTAAGTGGTAGTCAGCAACATCCTTGCTTCTGAAAACAGAGTTAAAAGAGACTAACATGTACAAATGGGAAAAAATATTACAGAAATCCAAGCTTGATTATTAATTCAACTAAAGCAACTTTTTTATTGCTTTTATACAATAGACTTGTGTGTCTGTTTTTTGTCTAAAGAACATTTCCCCAACATACTAAATATGCTCCTCAGGAGAAAGGGCTTTTTACTCCCATAAAGAGTTATAGTCAGGGGGAGAAAGGGGGAACCTACAAGGTTGGGTATATAGCCACCACACCACACCCCCAAAGGGGATGAGTAACAGAAATTTGGGTGAAGGGAGACAACAGTATAAGATACAAAATAATAATAAAAATATATCAAGGACCCAGAAGGGTAGGAGGGTGGGGGAGGGAGGGGGAAAAGAGGACCTTAAACAAAGGGCTCAAGGAGAGAATGTTTTGGAAATGATGATGGCAGCATATGTGCAAAACAGGCTTGATACAATTGTGTATGGAATGTTATAAGAGCTATAAGAGGCCCCAGTAAAATGATTTAAAACAAAAAAGAGCTATGGTTTCAAACTCACAGGGGCAGTTCTACCCTGTTGTATAGGGTCGGCGTCGACTCGTTGGCAGTGCGCTATAATAGACAAGTGAAGTTCCATACTCAGACTTTATAGTTCTTAGAGTAAAATAATCCTGAAAACCACATTCCTTGACTTCATAATCGATGAAATGTCCATTTTTCTCAGAAACTAACTGTGGTTAATCAATAACAGAACATCAAGAGTGACTTTAGTATAGTGGAAAGAAGCTCCGAGGGTCAGCCTATCCCCACATACACATTGAGAATTTTAGCAGACTTTCAGAAGAAACTTTGTCAGAACTTTGAAAAATAATCAAAGGTTTATAGCAACTAAGAATGCTAAGTAGGAAAAAGGCAACTTAACAGTGGTAAGAAAACTTTCCAGCATTTTTAACTCGCTCTTGTTGCACCTTACTCACTCACTGACTTGGCAGTGATCTTAGAGAGAACAGCCTGTGTTCCCAGTGTGGGGCTCGGGTCCCTGGTTCCACAAGAGCACAGAGCTTTCACTGCAGAAATGTGTCTGTCTGTTATGACATAATGGGTTATTTGAGGAGCCCTGCTGGCATAGTGGCTACCCACTGGGCTGCTAACTACAAGGTCAGCAAATTGTAACCACAAGCTGCTCTGACAGAGAAGACTCTGGTAAAGAGTTACATCTCAGAGACCCACAGGGGCAGTTCTACCCTGTTCTATAGGGCCATTGTGAGTCAGAATTTACTCAAAGGTAGTGAGTTTTGAGTTGGGTTTATTTGAAGCAACAAAGAATCTTCCACTGTTTCATCTAACTCAGAATTTTCTCAGGATTAAAAAGCAAATACTCACAGGGCATTTCTCAAAATGTCTTATTGCAAATGAAGTAGGTGCTGACTGGGACCAAAGAATAGAATTGAGGGAGACAAAAGATGGATAGAGCCCATCTGTGGGAAATCAGACATCCCCTTGCAGAAGGGCTGTGGGGAGGAGACAAGCCAGTCAGGGTGCAGTGTAGCAATGATGAAACATACAACTTTCCTCTAGTTCTTGAATGCTCCCCCCCACCCCATCATGATCCTAATTCTACCTTACATATCCCGCTGGACCGGAGGAGGTGCACTGGCACAGATAGGAACTGGAAATACAGGGAATCCAGGCCGGATGAACCCCTTAGGACCAGTGGTGTGAGTGGCGATACCAGGAGGGTGGAAGGAGGGTGAGGGAAAAGGGGGGAACAGATTACCTCCTCCCTGGGGGATGGACAGCGGAGTAGTGAGTGAGGGCAGATGTCGGATGGTGTAAGATATGAAAAAATAATAATAATTTATAAATTATCAAGGGTTCATAGGAGAGGGGGGAGCAGAGAGGGAGGGGGAAAATGAGGAGCTGATACCAAGGGCTCAAGTAGAAAGCAGGTATTTTGAGAATTATGATGGCAACATATGTATAAATGCGTTTGAAACAATTGATGCATATATGGATTGTGATAAGAGTTGTATGAGCCCCTAATAAAATGATTTTTTTTAAAAAGATGGATAGAAAAGCTGGAAGGAAAAGATGAAGGGTTATTTTAGGAAACTAAGGCACTGGGAGGTACCAGGTATCTTGGGGAAGCTAGAAAGCCACTCACATGCTCAGGGAAAGATGCAGGTTCAAAGGGGGCTGATATGGCAATGACATGTTGAACAAGAAACTGGTCGTAAAAAAACAAAACAAAAACGATACAAACTTCAACACCTCAATGAGAAAAAGATGACCGCCCCAAAAGTGAATTTAGTCAATCACACAAGGGGAAATATTGTATGAGACCACTGTCACAAAAAGTCAAGAAAAGGTGTTCATGCTAAAATAGGCATGCTTTGATGGGTAGCAGCGCTGAGAGAGAACGGGAAGGGAGAGCTGTCGCAGGCTAATAATGGGTAGATTAGCGTTGACTTGGCTGAAGGAGATGACAGACAAAAAGGAGGTGGGTAAAAATGAGGGGAGTCAGGGAGAGGCACAGGTATGTTTGCAAGCGTTATATTACAATTATTCACAGTACAATGACCCAAGAAAATGCCCATGATTTGGAAATAAAGCACACTTCGAGTAATCATTGAGTCAAAAAAGGAAAAAAACAAATGAAAGTACAACATATCAATATTCATGGGATGTAGCTTAAAAATAAAGTTATAGCTTAAAATAATAACAAATTGACATAAAGGCCTTATATCAATGACCTTTAAAGACCAGAAAATAGATCATATTAAACTCAAAACAAGCAGAAGGAAAGGAACCAAATAAGGAAAACAATCATGTATAGCATATTCTTATAGACAGAAAAAAGCCCAAAAGGATTGTATGAAAACGTCTAATGCTAATCTAGGTGCTTAGCAAAGTTCCAGGATACTAGGTCACCAATCAAAAATCTGTTGGGTTTCTACACATAAGCAATAAAAAAGCTAAAAGAATTTTAGATAAGTGAGCCCATCTACAATAGCACCTAAGAGAATACTTAGAAATGAATTTAATCAGGAATGTGAATAACTTGAATGATGAAAACAGTATACTGCTGAAAAAGATTAAAGACTTAAATACCATATATACTCGAGTATAAGTATTGATTTTTGATGAGAGTGCCATGCCCATTTTATGTGAAAGAAGAGTCTCTTTAATAAATAAATGATGTTGGGAATATTGAATTTCCACAAGCAGAAAATAAAACAAGATCCATGTCTCACACCACACACAAATTCAAAACAGATTAAGGATTTAAATGTGAAAATTAAAACAATGTGATTATTATACAGAAATACAAGTTTATGCTGTTGGGCCTATAATTTTTAAATGGTTCACCTAATATATTAACAAAAGCACAAGTAGCAATAAACAAAATAAAAGAAATAGGATCTGATAAAAAAATTAAAACTTCAGTTCATCAAGGGACTATTCAAAACTGGTAAAAAGACAAGCTATAGGCTGGGAGAAGGTCTGCAGACACATATTCATTAAGAATCAAATAAGCAAAATATTTAGAAAACCTCAACAAGGAAATAATTCAATCATAAAATGGGCAGCAGACTTGAATAATTGTTGTTGAGCAAGGAACTGACTTGAATGAAGAGGAAATATAACAGGGGTGTGTGTGTGTGTGTGTAGGTAAGTGAAAACTGTGTACTAGCATTTGGCAACAGGTCATAATTAAGGATAAACAGCTAAGAGTTGAACTGCTAGCTTCGGGGTTGACCATTCAAAACAGCCAGTCACTTCTTGGTAAAAAGAGAAGACTACCTGGTCCCACAGAGATTTACACCCTCGGAAATCCTAGAGTAACCCTGAACTAGAATCAAATGGATCACAGGGCTTGGGGGCTATCTCATAAAGTCACCTAGGTTGGTTGGTTGTAACTCTCCAGTCACTTTACATGAACCAGGTGAGGGAATCGGACACCTGTGGAGCAACAGTCACTGCGGTTTGGAATCAACTTGTCAGCAGTGGGTTTGGTGGTTGGTTGGTTTGTTTTCAATAACTAATAATGCTTTTATGGTTCGAGCTTCAGCACTAATCCAGCAAGTTTGAAAATGCTTGACTTCTATATGGCAATGATGTTCAACTATAGTGTACCTTAGAACCACCTGTCTACCACCAGACAAAAATGTTATTTGATGATAAAGTCCCAGCAAAAACATAGTTTTAAAGCCAAAATAGGTGATTTTAATTTGCAGCCGAAGTTGAGCACCATTGCTATAAGGCAGCAGTCCCTAGGCACGTTCAGATCGCATCCTGTGCCACATGCAATAAAGTCCTTGGTTTCCAAATCAGGAATCTCATGTCTTTTGCCACAATCTATGAAACAGTAACAGGTTAACTTAGTTGCTGTTAAAAAACAACAACAAAAACAAGCTCATTGCCATCCCAGTTGACTCCAACTCATGGCGACGCTCTTATAACAGGGTTAAACTGCCCCTCGGGATTTCCAAGACTTTAGATCTTTACATGAGTACACCACCTCATCTTTCTCCCTTGGAGTGGCAGGTGGGTTTGAATCACTGAACATGTTATCAGGAGGGCCTGTCGCTGGAGAAAGACATGTTTTGTAAAGTAAAAGGTCAGAGACAATGAGGAAGACCTTCAATGAGGTGGAATGACACAATGGCTGCAACAAAGGACTCAAATATAGCAACAACTGTAAGGGTGGTAAAGGGCAGTGTTTTCCTGTTAAGAAACCAATTGTCCCATGAGCTCAATAT